GGAGGAAAAGAAGAGAGGCACTTCATCCACGTTGCTTGAAGTCCAGTGTAAAGTTTCCACAGTCCGTGATGGTTTGGGGTGCCATGTCATCTGCTGGTGTTGGTCCATTGTGTTTTCTGAGGTCCAGGGTCAACGCAGCCACATACCAGGAAGTTTTAGAGCACTTCATGCTTCCTGCAGCTGACCCAACTTTTTGGAGATGCAGATTTCATTTTCCAACAGGACTTGGCACCTGCACACAGTGCCAAAGCTACCAGTACCTGGTTGAAGGACCATGGTATCCCTGTTCTTAATTGGCCAGCAAACTCTCCTGACCTTAACCCCATAGAAAATCTATGGGGTATTGTGAAGAAGAAGATCAATACACCAGACCCAACAATTCAGAAGAGCTAAAAGCCACTATTAGAGCAACCTGGGCTATCATAACACCTGAGCAGTGCCACAGACTGATCGACTCCATGCCACGCCGCATTGCTGCAGTAATACAGGCCAAAGGAGGCCCAACTAAATACTGAGTGCTGTACATGCTCATACTTTTCATGTTCATACTTTTCAGTTGGCCAACATTTCTATAAATCCTTTGTTTTTATTGGTCTTCAGTAATATTCTAATTTTCTGATATGATGAATTTGAGATTTTCATTTGTTGTCATTTGTAATCATCAAAATTAAACAAAATAAACATCTGAAATATATGAGTTTGTATGTAATGTATGAATATAATATACAAGTTTCACTTTTTAAATGGAATTACTGAAATCAATCTACTTTTTCATGATATTCTAATTTTATGACCAGCACCTGTATGCTAACGCCACCGCCACCAAGCTGCAATGATTTGCCGCGAATGAATACCGCCGAATCTGTCGATTCATCTTGTAGTGGTGCGTCAAATGCAACGTAGATTCCCATCCAATTAGATTGAATTTGGTATTTGTGAGAAAACGGCTCGCCAGCTCCCGTCTCACGTCAGAGGAGGAGTAAGCAGATGACTTGCAAAAAGGTGGTAAGAACCAGCGGACAACAAAATTCCAGTTCAAAAGCGGGTAGCAGTTTATTTACTGGTGCAACGGTGAAGACAAAAAAAAAAAAAAAAAAAAAAAAAATAATTTCAAATAAAGAAAACAAAACCAGCCATTGCAGGCCACACAAAACACATACAGCCTCACAGCAAGCTGACTTTAAATATAGTCTCTCTAAGCAGACCTTCAAAAGCAGTTTCTCCAACCAGTCTCTCCAAGCAGCCCCCCTAAGCCATTGTGAGCGTGCCCCTTAAATAGACCCACCAATAATCAGCCAATTGGGACAGCCCAACTAAACAGGAAGGCAAATCCCCAATAAAGCACAGTTAACATTGTAGAAAAATAAATACAGACAATAGCATCATTCATACAAAAACATACATATTTATGAAATAATTTAACCATACTAACATTACCATTTCACCTACTTATTACCATGCAAACAATTATTACATACAATGAAATCCCACTTAACACCCCTGCCCCCTAATAGTATTTTCCAATACCCTGGGACAATGGATGAGAGACTGGCTCCGATGCGGTACGTGTTTCCACACGGACCAGTATGCTGACGGACTAAGGGAAGAGAAAGTGTAACTTGACTGGAAAGTTTTATTACCGACTACCAGGGGCGGATCTAGAAAAATATTTATGGGGTGGCAAGAGGGGGGCAGGAATCTTTTAGGGGTGGCAACATATGGCATTTGTTTACACTGAATTTAATCACAGTTTGGTGAGAATAGTATGTACAGTACTAGTGTTTCATGTGAAACAGTTCATATTAGAAATACATCGTACAATGAGATCTCACTTAATAGGAGATAGAAGAATGATAACACTACTTCTAGAGGGGCCTTATGACAGGAAAGGTATTAAGGTAAGACACAGGTGCTGAGTCGCAGATGTGTGAGATTGACTGTCAGAGAGGCAGCTTTGCAGCATTTGCACAAGAAGAAACGATAGAAAGAAAAAGTTTCCTATCAGAGATCTATGGACTGAGCTGTACTAAAGTGAGCAGAACTACACAGTAGAAATAAATGGGTCAAGGCACCCAAACAAGGTACTGGACATCCATGTAATGTTTACTCTGAACACACATTTACCCCATTTGTTCCTCAGTAACTTGACATACAGCAATTAAGGCAAAATGAAAGGGACATTTCATGCATGTAAATATGCTGTAGATAGAGCTGCATATGGAGGACCAACTCTGCCATATTTAAAAATAAATACAGAAATAAATAAATGCTCAATAAATAAATAAGCATACAATTATTTGCCACCAAAAATACAATCAACAAATAAATGTAATTAGAAATTATATTATATTGGCAGGCAGAAATGTTAAAAGGGCAGGCAGACAGAAATAGCGGCGAAGAAATAACTAGGGTAAAAAAATACAAAGGAAGAATTAAACAGACAAAAATATGATAACATGCACATAAATAAATACTTAAAAATATAAGTAATGAAAAAATGAAGTTGAAGATAATAAATGACAAAAAAATAAATAAGGTAAATATTAAAAAGGCAAAGAAATAAAGAAACCAATTAAAAGAGTTATATACCTTTATGACTAGCTGTATAATTTAATTTCTACTTACATTTATTTGTTGTTTGTATTTTTGGTGGCAATCAATTGTATGCTTATTTACTTATTAAGCATTTATTTATTTCTGTATTTATTTTTAAATATGGCAGAGTTGGTCCTCCATACTGCTGTATCAACAAATCAACAAAAAGGCGGGTTCTGTATGTTACATCAAAATCTCCACAAATCTGAAAAGAAGCAACATAAAAATACATTTTGCTTGTGAGTAGGTTCATACGGGTCATTTCTGGATAGTTTCATATTATATATACAAAAAAAGAAACAACACTGCTTCATATTAAGCAGGATTTACACCAGTATCACATTTTTAACTTTTAACACTTTTGGTTTTATTAAAGGAAATATCAGATTTTCTCAGGTGCCAAAACAAAATGTAACAGCTCTGTAAAGGCTCACCAGAGAGCAGAACATAAAGTTGACATGACTATAACAGCTGAATGCAGCGATTTCCATGTTGCTCAGCAAAACGCTTCACAACTTTATTTAGATCCAATCCCTTTGTGCGTTTTGATTTGAGTACAACCAAACTATATAGTCTCTTTTCTGTCATAGTTGACCGCAAATATGTCTTTATGAGGCTGAGACGTCAGGCCTAACTAACATCATAGATAGAGAAATAACGTTCTGCAACCTGATTTTTATCATCTGTAAATCAGCATTGCAGCTATGCTAGCAACATTGTGCTTTCATTATGATTTCATTTCTCGATAGATAGTTAATCAGTTTCTACCTATTTCATCCCGTGTCTCCTCTCCCCATCACCCCTGGCTCCCTCGCTTTGCCCCATTCGGTTTTCAAAACAATCAGTCTCAGTCGCTCTCGCGTCATCTTGTGCTGCATTCACTGCAGTCCGACATTGGAAATTAGCGGCCGTAATTCTCAAATGATCCATAATTTATAAGCCTCGCCACCCCTACCGCCAACTGGGGTGGCAGCTGGGGTGGCAAGGCAGTCATTTAGGGTGGCAGTTGCCACCCTATGCCACCCCAGTAGATCCGCCTATGCCGACTACGGAATGTATACTGAAGCTGTCGCAGTGGGTACCTTCAGAGTTTGCTACGCTGGTGAGTAAGTAAAATGTTGAATGAAAGGTGACGTTGTAATTTCGGAACTAGTGTAAATTACCGGGTGAATTGTTTGGAACTGCCGCCGCCATGACGGTCGGTCTGTGGTGCATGCTGGGAAATGTAGTGAAGGATGTGACACTGTGTGTGATAGACGGCTACACTTTGGGAACAGAGGGGGAAAACGGCTCCGTTTTCACAGTATTGATGACGTGAAAAATAATAACGGTAACTCCACTGAAATGATTCAAAACTAAAGTAACGAGCCAATTTTTTTAAATGTAAGGAGTAGAAAGTACAGATATTTGTGTAAAAATGTAAGGAGTAGAAGTAAAAAGTCGCCATAAAAATAAGTAGTAAAGTAAAGTAAAAATATCAAAAAAATCTACTTGAGTACAGTAATAAAGTATTTGTACTTCGTTACTTCCCATCTCTGAATCTCACAGATTATCCCACCCTGTCCTTAACAACCACAGGCGATGACTCACTAAACTGGGTTTAAAATCTGTCAACATGATAAATCTGCTTTAAAAAATATCTTTTTAAGCAGCCTAAAAACAATAGGAACGTTTCAGCCGTTGCGTTTTTATTTTCATTTTCTGATTATGTCATCCTTTTCCTCACAGTTTTCAACTTACCGAAATTAAAGTTAATTTCAAATCGACTATTTTATTAACTTTTTTTTTACTGCAAATATTGTTTTTAAAATATGATATAAGATATTTTCATTATTATATTAATATTTTTGAATTTGAATTAATATTTTCATTCAAATATAACAATATAACCTCAAATAACTTAAATGATATTGTATTAGGTCATCAAATCAATGGGCTCTATGCACAGCTCCACTACTTCCTGAATTTAAGGCAGCTCCTTTGTTTCCTGTCTTTCATTACTGGACAAACTGATTAATCCAGGTGTGTCTGGCCAGTTACTTAGGTCATACACACCTGGATTAATCAGTGCATCCAATCATGAAAGACAGGAAACAAAGGAGCTGCCTTAAATTCAGGAAGTAGTGGAGCTGTGCATAGAGCCTATTCAGTTCAGTCTGTAAAAATAAGCTGCCTGTAGTGTCTTTAAATGTCCAGCAGGGGTCACTATTATTCTGTGAGGCAGTACCAATAGTTTGGCAATGTGTTGAAACGCTTCATTAACCCATATAGGTATCGCCTCTGTCCGGATAATTCCTCCGTTTTCTCTCCCCGGTTAACGAAGGAAACTCTTGACATCCCTTTGTACTCGGCTTCAACACCCGACTGTAGCATAGAAACTTAGGATCGTGTGTTCATGACAGAAAAACGAGCAACAGTTGCATGTTTATCCTCCAGCATGGCCTCACCGGAAGCTACGTGTTGTCATCATCAGCTGTTATCGATGTAGAGGTCACGTGGGTTCCGCTCCAGAGTCGACATTACAACCGATTACAACAACAAGACAGGCGAGGAGACAACCACGGAACCGGGCCGGTGGTGCATGGCGCGTGTTTTGAAGCTGCTTGTGGAGAGATGTCCTGGGCCGTGAGTAGTGAGGAAACAGGAAGCGATTCTTGTGGGATGGAAGAAGGAAATAGTGACAATGAAGGTTGGAAGATAGCAACATCAAAAAATGAGAAAAAGCGGAAAAAACAGAGATCAGTTAAAGGGGAATCTAGTTCAGAACAATCCAGTGATGATCATTCCATACATTCCACAGCACAACAAAATGAATTCAAAGTCATATTCAAAGTCGTTAATCAGGCAGACTCTTTTACAAATTGGAATCCGGTTCACTTAACAAAAACCATCAATAAACTTGTCGGAGAAGTCAGAGGTGCCAGAATTCTGTACAGTGGAGACCTGCTAATTAACTGCAGAGACAGCGCCCAGCAAGGCAAAGCAATACGTATCAACAAAATTGACGGGATAAGAGTTCAGTGCAGCCTAATGGAGAACAAAAAGATCAGCAGGGGAGTCATTGGAGGAGTTCCTCTAAAAATTTCTGAAAAAGAGATTCTGGAAAACATAAGCGGTGCAAAAGTAAAAGAAGTAAAACGGTTAAAAACAACAAGAAACGGAGAAAGATCTGACAGTTTATCGGTGTTAATTAAATTCGAAGAAGAGCAATTACCAAGCAAAGTATTCATCGGTTACATAAGCTATAATGTCAAAATCTACAATCCTCCACCATTGAGATGTTTCAAATGCCAAAAATTCGGTCACATTGCAGCAGTTTGTAAAGGGAAACAGAGGTGTGGAAGGTGTGCAGGAGAACATGAGTACGGAAAATGTGGAAAAGAAGCTAAAATAAAATGCTGTAATTGTGGTGGAGAACACACTGCTGCTTATCGCGGCTGTGAAGCAAGCAAAAGGTCTGAGGAAATTAAAAAAATGAAATTTGAGCTCGGAATAACCTACGCTGAAGCTGCAAAAAGGATCCCATCTCAGTCAGAAAAACCCAATCCTACAGTTCAACACACAGCAAATTCCAAACCTCTAGAGAAATCTCCAAAAATTGATGAAGACTCACTAATTGTTAAAAAGACAAATTTTGTTCTTTTCATGGTAGAAGTGATTAATTGTACTGCACAGACAACAAAAAAAAACTGAAAAAATCAAAATAATAGTGAAGGCTGCAGAAAAATATCTGGACATTAAAGATTTGAACTGGGAGATGGTTGGAAGCATGATGGGAGGACCGATGGGACCATCAGAAACTGGCAGAATTACGATGACCTAGAGTAAATTAAAATTATATGGGCAAATGTGATTTAGTATTATGTTGGTTTAAGTTACACAGGTTTTTTTTTTTTTTTTTTTTTTTTTGGGGGGGGGGGGGGTGAATCGTTTCCTGTTTTCTTGCTTTACTCCATATCAGTTGGTGGCGGTAATGCACAATTCACAAGTCTGCCAACCGCCATAAAATCTCATTAGAAGAAGAAGAAGACAGGCGAGGCGAGCAGTTGAGGGTCAAGAGGACGGTGCTGGTTGGAGGAAAAAGGTACAGAAACGCAACTTTTTGACTATATTTGTAAAAGTAAATCGAACACATCTGATGTGAATAGCGCAGCGACCCGACTGCATAAATACTGAGCTAATTAAACTAGCTAACTAGCTAGCAGCTAACCGTGGCCCCAAAATGGTCTAAAAAAAACCTATCAGGCTTTAAAACTTAGCTTTTGTGCTTTTGAAAATACTAAAGCAAGCGGTTTAATTTGATAATGTCGAGGTTGTTTATTCCTATTTTATATTCCACGTCCTCTTGGGTAGATTTAGCTTTAGCGAACTGTTGAAGCAGTAAACAGAATATGCAACAAATATGGAAGGTGGTAGTGTTGAAATTTCGTTTCTGTTTTGTTTCTTTTTTTCTTTACTTTTCCGCGAAGAAAATTGTTCATTAAATTCAAATCCAAGACCAAGAACCACATTTCAGTTAGTTATGTTATGTCTTGTCTCCATGGCTTTAAAATTATATAATAGTTTTACAGTTTCATATGACGGTTAATAAAAAAAATATTTTCTAGTATCTTAAAACATTTTTTTTTTTTACAGTTTCAGACTTTTTATTCATTTTTATTTGTAAAAGTTGGTATTTATTCTTATTTAGGTCACAAAAATAGATAATAAAAATTGTATCTAATATTTTTGTTTTTTTTTTCTGAAGAAGGAAGGTGCAAGAAATCTACCAAACAAGAATGTTGTTCTTACTTAAATTTTTATTTTAATGGTGCAATCAGTAAGGTCCTGTTATTTGTATTTTATTTCCTCTATTGAGAGATGCCAGTTTTCCCCATATTTATTTTTATTTTTTGTTTTAATTTCCATATCTTGTTGTATAATCGCATTTTTTTCTCTCAAAATAAATAAAAAACACAAAATGTTTTATCCTTGTAGGATACATAACTATTGCAGCAAGTAAAAACTTTATAACCCCTTTTTGAAGATAAAAAAATTAGTTAATTAATGTGGTATTCGTGTTTTTGTTTTTTAAAGGTAACACTCTTAAACAAAATGCTTGTAACACATTAACCAAAATAGTTGGGCATATTTGCCTATTGTTTTGAGTTGGAAGTAAAACTGGTTTCTGAATAACTTGGCCTCATAGTTGCCTGAACAGACAGCTTCTTTTTCTTAATCATCGTTTTGGGTAGTAGACGGTAGATCATCTGCACGAAATTGTTTTCCTTTTTGCTTTCTCTTAGACCACTAGGAACGGAGTCTATGTTAGATAAGAAGAATATGCTTTGTCTCCTCTGTCTATGGAGAGGGTTGGCCTAGTTGTTAGAGCAATGTGCTTGTGCTCTGAGAAGGTTGCAAGAACCAGGTTCAATCACCATAGCCTGCACCCTGGGTCCCTGAGCAAAACCCTTAACCCCCACACTGGTGCCTGGGCCCTGCAGCCTACTGCTCCCCAAGGGGATGGGTTAAATGCCAGTATTGCACTGTTACCAGTATAGGGCAGGGCCCCGATCCAGCACTAAAAGGGTGGTATCTGCAAGTACCAATAAATAGGGCACTGATACCGTTTTGAGAGCCAAAAGTTTATTCAACAATTGTCAACCATTCCAGGTAGGCAATGAAAAGTTCTACTGGATTCACTTTGTATTAGTCTTTTTCCTGTTTCACAAAGGTAGGCAGCAGCTTGACAAGTTTGACTTTTATCAGTCATTTCACCCTGGACACACTACTTTGGAAATATACAGTGCCTTGCGAAAGTATTCCTATGATGGCAATTATTTTACATCGAAGTTGTATGTAGTTCTTCATATATATACACACATCAATTTCAAACATATATCTGTATGGTGTCTGCCAATACTGCACAGCTAGTATCGGTATCGGGGCCAAAAAATGGCATCGGCGCAACACTATTAAATGTGAGATGTGAAGAAAATTGTCTCAAAAACGCAAACTTGTGAAAAGTGAAAAAGTGAAGCCTCACACGAACAAGCAGACATGAGACAGCGGGGATACAGCAGACATGCATAAGCTGCATTATCTTCACTGCACAAACCGTATTTGCAGCGTTGTCTGTAACAACTAAAGGGTGGTTTGCTTGTCAGCCCCCATTTGTTAATGTCTTCAGTCAACCTATTGGCTATATTTGCAGCTGTCTGGCTTGAATTCATCTTGGTGGTCTGTAGCACGAGATGCGAGGCACCACTCATTATCAATGTACTGGGAAGTCACCTTAATGTCCCATGTCCAGCACATTATCTTTAGTTGTTTTAAATCTAAAATGGTTCCAGACATCAGACTTCAGTTGGGACAGCTTGCTGAGCGGTGTGTTACTCTGGTCGGTATTTGCACACACCTGCTCATTTGAATGTGAACGTCACGCGCATCACTATAAAACTAATCGATCTCATTCCTTACACATCAATTTTGCAAAAATGTAAAGGAATCGATCCAAAATCGATTAAAGCAATTTTTTTAACCAGCCCTAATTAAATGCAGAGGTAAATTTCTCCAACATGAGATAAATACATTTAATTTATTATAATTATCATTTTGAAATCATAGCCAGCCTGCTATTGTGTTTAAACCAACAAGTACTGTTTACTGTACAGAAAACTTCTGTTTGTTGCCTCACTTTGAAGCATTTTTTTCCCCAGCCAGTGGGTTGTTGGAAACCAGGCTAATCGTACCATTCCAGGAAGGCTCTTTTAACTCCTGCAAGTTGACATTTAGCCGCTCAAACACATTTCATGTTGTTTATGTTCGATTATAGCTAGTTTGTATTGTTGTTACTACAGTTGCTCCAGTTTAGGTCCGAAGTTGAGTAGCAGCAATGTTAATCAAGTACTTCAGTTTTAATGTTCAGAAATGAATGCGTACCCAGAAATCAGTTTTAAGCAGAGTTAAATGAAAAATGAATGAGCCAAATAATTCAAATTGAAAGTATGCTCTTGTATGTTCACTACTGAGAAGAAACAAGCCGAGAGGAAAGAGGGAAAAAAACCTAATGGGGAAAAAAAAAATCCAGATCAATAAGGGGATTTTGGGATGCAAACACATAGGAGTCACTTCTGGATGATTTAAATGATGTCAGCCTCATTTTTCAATCTTTCACTTTCAGAGCTCAATGTCGCACAGAAACAGCCGTCTTCAAACCAGACACCAAAGACAAAATTAAAAACCTCTGCTGTTTGCTTTTAATAAACACAGATAATGTTACAAGAGGTGAAAATACAGGTAATTGGCCAGCTGATGTTTGAAAAAAAAATTTAATAAATATTTAAACAATGAGGGTTATCATATATGAAAATTTCAAACTCATTATCAATATGCAGGAAAATATTTGATAACTAATGCTGATGAAGATTCTCAGTCATCCAGGTCATAGTCATTCCGTAAAAGTTTAAAAAACAATCCACTGGACTTGGTTTCCAAGGTTTGAAGACGTTTCACTTCCCCTCCAGAAAGCTTTCTCAGTTCAAATGTCTGGATCCGCAGTGAGTTTGAGGCTTTATATAGACAAGGTGTTTTATTGCTTGGAAACATGCAAATTGAAACCGACGAGCGGGTTGTTTGGTTCCATTGTTGGCCTGTATTATCTGAAACCTGTCTATGATTCTGAAGGTTGGTTTTTAAAGGAGGGATGGAAACCAAGTCCAGTGGATTGTTTTTTAAACTTTTATGGTTTGATAGCTAATATCATACTCAATTCAACTTGGATAAAAGTTAACAAATAATTAAAGGCTAGGAAAAAAAAGTAACTTGGAAAAGATTTTATCTTTTCATCTCATCATGGACCACGCTTTCGCAACAAAAAACCCAGAAAATAAATAACCCAGAAATCTGAAAATAACAATAGCAAAAATATCTAAACACCTCACTTTGGTATTGATATCATGCTAGCTTAGTATTGTATCAAGATATGAAGTTTACGTATCGACACCTTTAACAACCCTATTAACAATATAAAAAAAAAAAAACACTCTCTTCTGTTTCTGACTTAAATAAAAACATATTATAGTTGTCTATAAAGGCACAATCTAATTAATTAGAACCAGACAATAAAACCCCTGTTTATCATTGTTCTATGGGTTTGTTTCTTGCTGTAGGCCTGTGTCAGTATCTGCCACTATGGCTGAGTTTAATCAAGCCTTTCGGGGCTCAGAAATTTCTCCTCTTTGCTGTAGCCCTTCAAGCACACAGGGGTTGTTATCCTGAATCATTACCCAAGATCCAATGCGTTTTTTTTTTTTCCCTCTCTTGTATTCTGCTCCTGCTCGCCTGAACTGTTTCAGTTCATAATAGTTTTTATCACCTTTCACAGCAGCAGGTTTGTCATCACAACCTCCATCCTGAACAAATTATTTTTCCTTTATTTCTGCAGGGCGCCTGGAACAGGGAGTCTGGTTCCCCCATGGTTTATTTTCAGCTTTTTTTTTTCTTTTCACTACTGCACTGGACATGGTAGTAGAAACGCCTAAATAAAAACTGTAAATGGCTTTTTTAAAAGAAGCAATGAGGAAGACAAGACCTATATAATGTGCCTTAAAAGTTATTGTTTCAGAAAGTTGATTACTGGTGCTGCCCATATAAATAGAATATCATAAAAAGTAGATTTTTGTCATTAATTTCAGCACCACCTTCACATGCTGACAGTTTCTCAGCAGAGGTGAGTTTCTCTCCGTGAAACAGTCCCTCAGCTCTGATGCAAATGAATCCCCTCTGTCTCCAGTTCACTGAGCGCTAAATCATCAGGCTTGTTTTCATGTTAAGAACAAGCTCAGTTTACATATATGCTGTTTTACTTTACTCTTAGATGACTTCAAGTGATAGTCTTCAAAAATAAAACTGAATTACTTCTTTTTTTCTTTTTTTTTTGAGGGCCAAATGATTGGATGGCCCTGGTTTAAAGTTGGTTGACCCACCAATAATCATGGCCCTGATAGAAAAGGACATTCCCAACAAACGTCCCATGTTTTCCTAATATGTTTTTGTTTTATTGCAAATATAAAGCGTAGCTTTGCTCAGTTGACATAAACATATACATTTACTAAAACTTGTTGATAAACAGAATTTGATTTTATTTTATGCTTTTACATTTCAACAAATGTGAAATCCATTATAGTTGCCTATAAAGTAATGCATAAGGACACGAATTAAAATCTTCCAGCTTTTTTCGAAGATATGTTTGGTCATTATTATTTTGTTCTTGCTTCTCTTTAGTTTTGTCAATTGTCATGCAAATAAAGTAAACTTGGCTGTATTGTTGTTTGTTTTTAAGTTATTCAGAAAACTGGAGCTGATTTACTAAAGAACACTTCATCAGCACCACAATGGTATCGCAGAGGTAAGATATCCTATAACACTATCCGTAGTATACTTTATTATACTGGATTTTTTTTTTTTATCTATATTATATTCATGGGTTCTTAGTGTTTAATCTCAATATTTTGTAGATGGTTGTTTCTGTTTCAGGATGTTAGATGAATCCAAATGTTAGCATAATTACACTTAGCATGACATTTGTTTGCTAAATGTTGTATGGCCTCATTTTAATTTCTTCTCAAATTTTTAGATTAGCTGTTGGTTACTTTTACTATGTCTGGCTGGAGCCCAAAAATTTTTTTTTTTTCATTTATTTATTTAACCTTGTCCAATTATTTCTACCAGATCAAATCTACTTACTTGTTATAATAATTTTCTTACAATTTCTCCATGTGACTGCTCTGATGTCACAGTTTGTCCAACCTCTAATTTCTGGGTTACTCACCAGATCAAACCTAATCCCTTTATGTCCTTGTCATAGTTTTAGCATAGATGAATGGAAGCATTTCAGCTGAAGCAGTCTAGTTTGATAACACTTGTGGAGTTTCATCAACATATTGTCCTGCAGTACGTTTTAATAATTAGACATTGGGCAAACCTTTCATTTTACAGATCCAGCTTTTTAGGGAACTGATAATCTGCAGTGGCTTTGGTTAAGTTGTTTTGCGTGCTTCTTTGTACGTCAGTCTGTGCGGGAACTGAAACGGGCTGTCTCTCAAACAATGGCTGATCTCGTGTGTTACTAACAAAATGGGTTTACTGTGTGGGACTTCCCTCCTCGTTCTCTCTAATTTCTCCCCTGCTGTTTTTTTTTTTTTTTTTCAACTCTAAAATGGCAAACCATTCAGCAGGACCGCATGATGCATCCAGTATGTCTTCTCTTAGTCCCTCCAGCTCGCCAATGCCTCAGAGTCCCTCCAACTCCTCTGCTTCTGACTCCAGCGTAAGTAAACAACACTTTCCTCTGTACAAGAACAGTCACAAACCACATCTAGTAGATGCTGTTCTTTGACCTTTTAATAATAATAATAATAATAATAATACATTTTATTTAACAGCGCCTTTCTTGACACTCAAGGTCACTTTACAAATAATACAAAAAAAATAAATAAAAAGAGATGAAAATACAGATACAGGAACATAAAAAACAAAAAAACAATCATGGATAGGGAAAAGAGCAGTATATCACAAATAAGCGAGCTGGAACAGATGGGTTTTGAGTCTGGCTTTGAATAAGGGGAGAGAGTCAATACTGCGGAGGTCGGGAGGAAGTGAGTTCCAGAGCTGGGGAGCAGAGCGGCTGAAGGCTCTGCTCCCCATGGTGACAAGTCGAGCTGGGGGTACAGTGAGGTGGATGGAGGAGGAGGATCTAAGGGAGCGGGAGGAGGTGGCAATGTGAAGGAGGTCTGACAGATATGGAGGAGCAAGGTTATGGATGGCTTTGAAAGTATAGAGAAGGATTTTAAATTGAATTCTGAATTGAACTGGGAGCCAATGGAGTTGGTGAAGAACAGGGGAAATATGATGGAAGGAGGGGGTTCTGGTGATGACACGAGCAGCAGAGTTCTGAAGAAGTCGAAGTTTATGGAGAGATTTATGAGGGAGGCCAAAAAGAAGAGAATTGCAATAATCAATACGGGAGGTGATGAGGCTGTGGATAAGGACAGAGGCAGTATGAGTGGTGAGGGAGGAACGGAGACGGTTAATGTTGCGAAGGTGGAAGTATGCAGACCTGGTAATTTTATTTATGTGAGACTGAAAGGAGAGGGAGGAGTCGAGGATGACACCCAGACTCTTGACCTGAGGGGAGGGGGAGACTAAGGAGTTGTCAATGGGTAGTGAGAAACTTTTGATTTTAGATAGGGTGGATTTAGTGGCAACGAGGAGGAGTTCTGTTTTATCACTGTTTAGTTTAAGGAAGTTTGAGGTGAACCAGTCTTTAATTTCAAGTAGGCAGTTAGTAAGGGACAAGGGGGGGAGTGAGGAAGTGGGTTTACTGGATAAATAAAGCAGGGTGTCATCCGCATAACAGTGAAAGTGAATGTTGAATTTCCGGAAAATACTGCCAAGGGGAAGAAGGTAGGTGATGAAGAGGAGGGGGCCAAGAACTGAGCCTTGAGGAACACCAGAAGTGACAGGGGAAGGGTGCGAAGTGAAAGATTTGAGCTGAATAAACTGAGTGCGGTCGGAGAGATATGAGCGGAACCAGTCAAGAGGGATGTGAGAGATGCCAAGAGAGGATAATCTATTGAGGAGAATGGGATGAGAAATGGTATCAAAGGCTGCACTGAGATCGAGAAGGATGAGGATGGAGAGGAGTCCGGAGTCAGCAGCTATAAGGATATCGTTTGTGATTTTTATAAGAGCAGTTTCAGTACTATGAGAGGGGCGAAAACCAGACTGGAAAGGCTCGTAAAGACTGTTGAGGGTAAGAAAGGTGTGGAGTTGAGCAGACACAGTTTTTTCAAGTATTTTAGAGATAAAGGGAAGATTAGAAATGGGACGAAGATTATTAAAGTTAGTGGGATCAGAACCAGGTTTTTTCAGAATCGGGGAGACAGATGCAGTTTTGAAAAGTGAAGGAACAATACCAGAAGAGAGTGAGGAATGAATAATGGAAGTAATGAAGGGGAGGAGGGAGGTAAGACAGGTTTTGACCAGAGCTGTTGGGAGGGGGTCAAGAGAACAGGTAGAGGACTTGGATTTTTGAATGAGGTCAGAAATTTCAGAAGAAGTGGGCAGTAGGAAGGAGGAAAATGACTGGCTACGGGGGAGGGGCGGAGGGGAAGTGGGAGGCAAGGTGGTCATATGTAATTGCTGGTGAATGGAGCAGATTTTTTCATTAAAGAAGGTTGACAAAGAATTACAGGTCTGAGTAGAATACATGTAAGAAGGCAGGGTGTCAGGGGGGTCAAAGATCTTATGCATTATGGAAAAGAGAGACTTGGAATTTCCATCATTGGAACAGATAAGGTCAGAATAGTAATTTGATTTAGTAATGGCTATTGAATTTGAATATTGAAGTAGATGAGTTTTATGCATTTCTTTGTGTATGGAGAGACCAGTTTTTTTGTGGAGGCGTTCCAGTTGCCGACCTTTGGCTTTCATGAGGCGGAGCTCAGGAGTAAACCAAGGGGCAGAGCGGGAAAAGGATACAGACCGGGTTTTGAGAGGGGCAAGGGAATTGAGAATATTGGAAAGCCCAGAGTTGTAGTGTGTGACAAGGTGGTCCGGAGAGGAAAGAGCAGGGATTGGGATATTGTCAATGTGGGAGGATAAAATGTCTGTGTTTATGTTCTTAATATTGCGGAAGGAAATCTGACGGACAGGCTTGATTATGGAGAGAGACAGGGAAACGTTGAAGGATAAAAGAAAGTGATCTGAAATATGGACATCATCAGCAGAACAGTTAGATGGGATTAAACCAGAGCAGCAAATCAAGTCCAGCGAATGTCCTTTTATATGGGTGGGAAAATAAACATACTGATGAAATCCAGAACTGTCCAGGCAGGAGGAAAAGTCTCTGGTCAGTGAAAGGTTTACATTGTCCATATGGATATTGAAATCACAGAGGAGAATGACATTAGGAGAGAGAGTAGTCAGATGGGTAAGTAGTATGGATAATTCATTTAAAAAGTCACAATGTGGTTTGGGGGGACGGTAGACTATGGAAATAAATATTGGAGTAGGACCAGGCAGTTCAAATGCAAAGCATTCCATAGAGCGGAAAACAGGAATAGAAACAGGCAACAACTTTCACTTCTCGCGATGAAGTAACGCGAGACCTCCCCCGCGGCCGGAAACACGAGGAAGAGAGTGGTAAACAAACCCAGGTGGAGAGGAGGCGTTGAGCTGGGAGAAGTCTTTAGGTTGTTGCCACGTCTCCGTGAGGCAGAGGAAGTCCAGCTTACGGTCATTGATGGGATCCTCGATGAGCTGACCCTTGTTTGTGAGAGAGCGGATATTCAGGAGTCCAAAGTTGACGGGAGAGTTGATATGACCGGAGGCGGGGCTTGCTGCCTTAGCCAGGCTAGCAAGCGAACTGAAGTCAGCGGTCCGACCGGGATATCGGCGAGAGCGGCGTGAAGTGGACCAGAATGATGGTATTGGATTGGAGTCATCGATGTGGAAATTCCGACGGGATCCGCGGTGGATGTATCTCCGGCGGGGAAGGAGCATGATCTCCGGGTGTAGCTGGAGAACTGGCGGTGGAGGCGCAGACAGAAGCCCACGGAGCAGGAGGAGATCAGCAGCCGAATACTGGAACCGACCAGCCCCAGGTCGGTGTAGAATGGAGAGGACAGTCCAGAGGAGGATACACCAGATGTAGAACTTGGAGGTTGACATTGTTAACGGCAGCGGGTGGCTAACCAACAGCAGCAATGGCGTCGAGTCAGGAGAACAGTTGGAGAGTGAGGTTAGTTAAACACACTCAGACACAAAAACAACGGGATGGCAGCGGGAGTTAGGATGATCAAAGCGAAGGCAAGTGTCTTTGCTCTCACTTGAATGTGAGTACACGGCCCAAAGTTCCGTAAAAACACTTAAAAACAGGTAGCGGAGAGCAGCGGCTGCAAAAACGCGCCAGCGTCCACTCAGCGCATGCGCATCAACTAAATTACAAAAAAGAAATGCTTGGTTAAGTGATGAGTGATGATTTAAGTGATGATTTTGTCCAAATTATCATAAAGTTGCACCAAAGTATTTGAATTCTGTTAGTTTTTATTTTTTTATTTTAAGTTTTTCTACTTTTGGTTCAATTTTAAATCCTTTGTTTGTACAAAGCTGTATTTTCCCTTTGTTGCCATGTAATGTTTGCATGTGGTTCCAGAGTTCAGACAGCACCAGCTCCTCCTCGCCTGCCTCAATGCCGAATCTGGACAGCCAGTCATCCTCTTCCTCCTCTGCTAATTCCTCTTTCCCAGGAACTAATGATGGGTTGAGGTATCGAAGTGGCTTTCCCTCCTACCATCCTCATACTCCCCCTGGTGTCCCTCACTGGTAAGCAGTTTTAGTTGATAGTTATGTTTAACCCACCATAAATTTTGAGAGACAACCAATACAAATGACCCTCCCAGCTGCGCTGATAAAAAATCCTTGTCAGGATCCTGGTGTTTGTCAGAATAACCTTTAATAGCAGCCCCAAAACGTCATCTGTTTGTAGAAGTTATTCTAATGCTGCAGTTTGATTTTTAACGCACACTTCAAAAGGTTGGCTTTAAATATCACAGATCTTCTAAACATCCATGGATTGTTGAATGGTTATTAGCTAGCAACATTTTTAGATTTATTATTTGGTTTATTATTATAGATTTTATCGGGCGTGCTTTGGTGCCGCAGTGGTTAGTGCACATGACCCATTTACAGAGGCCTTAGTCCTCGACGGGCGACTGGGGTTCAAATCCAGCCTACGGTCCTTTCCTGCATGTCTCTCCCCCTCTCTCATTTCCCCTTTCCTGTCAGCCTACTGTCCATTAAAAACGAGCAACTAGTGCTGTAAAAACTCAAAAAAAAAAAATATATAACCATACTATAACTTCAAACCATTGGTGTTTTTAGATCATGACCTTTTGGGTAAATGTCTGCATTAAAAACCGTATAACCATTAAGAAGTAACAGATACAAACCCAGTCACAAATCATTCAACAAAGAATTAAATGAGTAGAGAAAAAAAAAACATTGTTGACTTTTTTTTTTTCTTTGCTGTTTTCTTTTTTGGCTCATTGTTAAATAATGAATATAAACAAATATTCCACAGCCCAGATGCAGCAGAGTTCCCTCTGCAAGGTGGCCTCCCGGCCAGCATGCCCCCCCATCCAGCCTACATCCCCATGCAGATGCTGTGGTGGCAGCAGATGTATGCACGCCAATACTACATGCAGTAGTAAGTGTATTGTTAGAGCTGATCTTTACCTCCTTATTTTTTTTTAGCAAACTTCCCAGTGGGAATCTCTTCTTGGAATTTCCCACAATTTGATTTTTTTTATTCTTACCTCTTTGTAGTCAGGCTGCAGTAGCTGCCTCACAGCCTCCCAGCAGTTTGTCTCCCTCCTCATCACCCCATCAGCCAGCCCAACCCAATGAAGCTGTGCAGGCTCCGCTGGGTCCCAACCCAGCCCAGGACCCTAATCAGGAGAACCTACCTGCCAACCCCATCCAGATGAACGCACAGGGTGGGGCGCTGCTGGATGATGACGAGTTGAATCGGGACTGGCTGGACTGGTTGTACACAGTGTCACGTGCTGGTGTTCTGCTGAGCATCGTCTACTTCTACTCCTCCTTTAGTCACTTTGTCATGGTGGTTGGTGCCATGTTGCTCGTCTACTTGTAAGTCCCTCCACAGAACTGTCTGAAACCCTTAACACACACCTAATTTCTTTACTCATTACTTGGAAAAATGCACCGCTTAGTTTAGTTTAGGGCGACAGTGGCGTTGGATGTAGGAGTTTGCCCTGAAATTGAAGGATTGACGGTCCAAGCCCCGTCTCCGACTTTCAGTGTCGTTGTGTTCTTGGGCAAGACACCTGCATTGTCTATTGATGGTGGTCAGAGGGCCCGATGGCACCAGTGTACGGCAGCCCCGCTTCTGTCAGTGAGTCCCAGGGCAGCTGTGGCTACAATGTAGCTTGCCACCTTTAGTGTGTGAGTGTGTGCGTGAATTGGTGAATGAATGTAGTGTAAAGCGCTTTGGTCAAGTCTCCTGACTTGAATAAAGGTGCTATATAAGTACATGCCATTTACCATTTACCATCTATTAAAACAGATTCTAAGATTCGTTAAAAGGATTTGGATCTCAAATTGGTTGCCATTCAAAATTTCCCCACTTTCCTAGATGGACCCTTGGCTGGTCCCTTAAAATTCCTTTTTTAAACATCAATATTCTTTCTATCATGATTTGTGGACCTTAAGATCTAAAGAGAAGCGCCTTCTCCTGGTCAGACCCTGTAATTCAGGGAAGGGTGGAGTCGGAGTAAAAAAAATATGCACGCCAAGGGGAAGGAGGGGGTCACTCAAGTGGCTGGAAGTTGGAGAGGATTTTGCCGGGAGTTGTAGGGATGTGGGCTGCTATTCGGCTGGCGTTTCACTGGGACGGGCCGTTTTTAACGGCTGCTATTGAATGTGACCCGTGTAGATCCAAACGTATGCAGAGCATTGGAGTTATTGCTGAAATAATTTTATTGATGTTTTTTGGATGATTCCTTGACGTTGGTTTGATATTGAACTAACTGGTAGGGAGCCCCGATTTCAATAACATATTTATCTAATAGAACTACAGCATTAACATATGAGCGTGAATACTGCAATCTGGTTGGATTGTGCTGACCAGAGCGGGAGCAGCCAACAGTTACAACTCTGTGATTTGAAAACTTGGACTTTCGTGGACGTTGAAGGATCCAGCTTGAGAAGTTTTAAAGTGATGTTGACTAACAAGCTACCATTAGCTTTAGTGGCTAAACTAGCTGCCTACATTATGAATAGGGGTTAAAATAAACCGCTAGTGCGAACCTTAGAAGTCAGCAAGGGTACCCAGTACTGGCCACAAACTGCTGCCTATTGTAATGAGGCTTATTTTTGTTTCACCAGCTTCAGCACACAGTTGCCAATCTAAGTATATAAGGAGACTGGTTTGCTTTCCAGTCTGGCATACAGTCTCAATAGGTGTCTGACATACACTAAACTGACAAACTCTACTTCTACGGAAAAGCCTGTTAACATCAGCTGTTTACTCAACTGTCTCTGCATTCATCAGTTGATATACTGTATGCAAACTATGCTACTAGCCACGTATGAAAAAAATTTTTTCTTCAGAATTTTATTTCTCTTTCTTCCTGCTCCTGAGGGGTTATGCAAAATGTCGTTTGTTTGGATGCTTGTACTTACCCAGAATAAATGTTTGCATTATCTCCCACTAGATCTCTCTCCTAGTTCCCCTATTTCTGTTTAAGATGTAAACATTTCTTTGTATTTTCACAAAGAAAAAGATCTCTTCTAGTTTCTTTGTCAGTTCTTACATTATAGTTTATATTATTAAATAAAGCTCTTATTTTTCACAACATTTTTAGGTAGTGTCACAGACTCTTTGTAATTGGCATATTAGGTTAATAATAGGAAAGTCAGAAATTTCAGTGGGTGTGACGCGGCCAAACTGTTAGAACTGTAAAAGTCTGGTTTTCATTCATCTGAAGATAAAATAACTGCTAATCTTTTAGATATTTCTGTCAATTAATGGTTTTGTGGGTGTTGAACTAGTTAATGTTAAGCTAAAAAAAATAAAAATATCCCTTGCAAGGTTTATGTAAAAGGTGTGTAATAAATGAAAGGCTGGGATTATGAGAAATAGTCTGCAGGTAAAGAATGTCTGCATCTTTTAACTTTGCTTGATTTTTCTGTAAAATGCACTAAATTAGCACTTTTAATTTAAATGCCACAAAATATTCTTCCAGGGATGCATGCCCACAGACTTAATGGCTTTAATCCTCCCACCTTTTTCACCCCTGACTTGTTTTCTCAGCTCACATAAAGACAAGTAATTTCAACAGTTTAAGCTTTGGTTTCCTCATCATTCAAAATCACCTTGAGATAACAAAGCACTTATCCAAAGACAATAAGATTGGGAGACTTTTTTAACATGGCAACTGAAGTGAAAAATTGTGTCAAATAATAAAAAGATGACCATGGCAAAAAGAAACAAATAAAATTGAATAAAATCTGTCATAATGAGAGCGCTAACTAGAATATTAATAATGTGATATCAGATATCTCATCCAGTGGTTTTTTCATGGGCCTCTTATTTCTTTTTTTTTTCTTTTTTTTTCTGCTTATTTATTAATTAATAATATAAAGTACATTTACATCAATGTTAAATTGTTAACCTTTTGTGAACAACGTTTAAGGCAAGGCTAAAGCCTTCACTCATATGGCCAGATATATGGTTCATCCATTGAACAGGTGAATCGGATAAATCAATACGTTCAGCCCAGGTATCGATACGACTGGATCGGAAAAAATAGATCGGTGCATCTCTAGAAATAAGCTTGATCTCTAATCCTCATATATAAACAATACAACAGGCAAGCTTAAAATATTGTTTATGAAAGATAAACAACTTGTCTCTGTCTACACAAGTGGGCCCCAGCCAGGATGAGACTGAACCTGCAATATCCTGCATGTTTTATATTTTAAGTGTCAAGTATGCTCGTGTTTTAAAAAAAACGTTTTTAAAAATGTTTTGTTTTGTTTTTTCTTTTTATAATTTTTTTATCTTATTTTAATTTTAGCTTACAAGGCTGTTTATGGTTTCAGGCACCAGGCTCAGTGGTTTCCCTTCAGACCACAGCAGCAACACTTTAGAGGAGAAGAAAGGGCCGACGCTCCTCCAGGAGAAGCTCAGAGGCAGCAGGACATTGAGGAAATTGTAAGTTTTTAAGTGTAATTTTTCTGTTTTGTGTGTCTCGTTATTCTTGGAAGACAAACTAAATGCTCTTATAAGTCCTAAATCCAACAGATGGAAACCACTGAAAATAACTCTGTATCCTTCATTCTTTCCTCTATATTTGGTTTCCCCTAAAAATCTATTTAAGAATTAGAATGGAAATCTTCAGGGTTTAATCCCCTAAAGAGCCATAATAAAAATATAATTAACTACACAAAATACAAAAGTCATGTGAGATGTAGAGAAATATCTTTGTTTACTATTCTAACAAATTTTGCTGTGTTGCACTGCAGTGAATCTCATTAACCCTACTGACATGCAAATAGATTTATTTATAACTCAGTGATGGGTAATCTACCAATACATTTCATGCAGTCAGCAATCCCTCTGATGTGGACCTGGTTTCTTTTATACTTGTAAGCTAAAGCTAGAAAGACCAGCTCCTCAAAAAATGGGCTAAAAAAAACCATAAAGTGGCTACAGCATCTGTTTCCTACACGTTGTTCTAATAGCTAGCCTGACCCTGTGAACGCCTCTTTTAGCAGCTGAGTGGTACAGCAGCTGCAGGCTGAGTTTATCTAAGCACAAACTTATTTTTTTTTGGCAATAATGGTTTATTAACACATAATTCATTAAAATTCGTTGTCATTCAACAACTAAATGCAAGAAAAAGGTTTTCTTTTCCAGTTTTGAAAAATAAATCATTAGTATCTGATTATTGATGCTTGCGATTGTCACAGGAACGACTGATGGATGAGGGATTGGAGGATGATGACAGTGGGGAGGAAGGTGGTGTAGGGAGCAGAGATGGGGCTCTGGGTGCTGCTCTGCCTGAGCCAAACATCCTCACCGTAGCGTGGTCCTTCATCAGCACCTTCTTCACTTCACTCATCCCTGAGGTTCAGCCCCACCCAGCTAACTAGGAAGACATTCTGCCTTTCTTCCTCCTGCCAGGCTGGTACCGCTCTACAGTTTCCAACCTTCATCTTCGCTGTAATACAAAGTTAAGTCTGCAAAAACAGCTTGAATGGTAACAGCCGGTTTAGTAGATGCCTCCTACTAATGGGAGCTGAGGAGAGCTGCGAAGTGACCTTGCTGAAAGGAAAGGAACTGGGAAATGGATAAACAGGAAATGTGTTTTAAGGTGTCAACTATGAAGAAAAGGATAAAAGAAAAGAGAACTGTTGCTGTTTCAAGCAAAGATTGAATTAAGTGGGTTTATTTTTTTTATTTTTTAGATGAGACTGACATAAAACGGACATCAATAGGTTTGTCCTTTTGAAATACTTTGACATATGCACACCTGCTGCATATAAACATTGCAGCTACTAAAGCTCAATTTTACACACTTTATCATCTAATTACACATGTAAATAAATACATCTATAAATTTAGTGTATATGCCTTTTGAATAAAGTTTTGCCTGCATACAGAAACTGTTTATCTCATGGAGTTCTTTAGGTGTCCTACAGATGGCAGCATCTTCTCACAAATGTTTTATTTTATTTTGTTGGGTTTTCTTCGAGTTGTTTTTTTGTTGTTATGTCTTGGATATATTTAATACCTCTGGTTACAAAAGACACTTTGTGTAGCAGATCAGAATCTCAGAATGCATCTAATGGCTGCCTTTTTTAAGTATAACCAGATTAATTAGGCAACTGATGAATCAAGCTAAGCAGCATTATTTTAGTTTTTGCATTTAATTTCAAATGCTAAATAAACTGGTTGTTTGTATAGTTTCCAATTCAGCTATTATTCTGCTTGTGTAAATGTGACTAGGGTTTTTCTGCAGCCTTTTCATATTTAACCCCTCCAGGTCATAAAGAGAATACCTGAGAACATTCAACAGAGGAAAAAGACTTTAAAAACACAAGTTATTTTAGTTCTAATCAGTTGGTATTGATCAGGAAAGAGGCAGCACTTCACGTTCCTGAACAATTTATTGATAAAGTATTTGTTGCAGAAATTGACTAGGTAGTAATGTGTTATCTTGATTCTTTATACATACAAGTCATATTTCCTAGAGAATTCTAAGGTCTAAATATTTTATAGGCTTAAAGGCTAATTTTGAATCCTTATTTGAAAATCAAACATAGTTTTTTAAATAATTGGATTTAAAATATTTTTACAAACAAAGTAGTCTGGAAAAAAAAGACCCACTGGATAACAAAAGTTTACTAGAACTAAAGTCCTTGTTTGAAGTAATTATTTAATATTTCTAAAATTTGCTTTTTAAATCTGATCAAATATTGTTAGATTCTTTGGACCTAATCTGTTTAGTGCATTTAATTTTTTTGCTAAACCAATAGGTTTTTTACACAACTGAAGCCAGCTTCTAAGGCGACACTAAAACAAAGCATAACAGTGGAGAAATAAAGGTTTGCTGAGCAAAACTTTATCAGCATATGTATCTTTCAACATTAACAAGGTAAGTTCTTCAATCTGATTTCCCTACCTGAAGCTATGTCCCGCACAACAAAAACATCACAGATTCCAGTGAAAAAATATCTGATCTCCAAATGGCTTCTTGTGGAACCCAAGCAGCTGAAATACTATTGCCTCTGATGATTAGGGGGTAATCCTAACGGTATAATCAATTCGTCCAGGCTTTGGCTGCTGGTTTGGTGCTTATGAAGAATCTTTATCACTATGGATCCATAATGACAGATAAACATACCAGCTACAAAGAAGGATGAATCATACTATATACATTGGATCTAGAATGATATACTTGCATAAAATGCATCTTCTGCCAGAGCAGCCTGTGGTCATGAACTTGACTATTTTGTGTTTGGGGGGGGTGCTTTCACTGCTCTAGGAAACAAAGCAGTTTTTAAGTCTATTTATTCTGGATGTGATCCTCCCAAATCGTTTTCCTGGGAGAAGTGGGACAATCGGCTCATAGCCCAGGACTAGGTGATCAGCAGCAATACGTCTGAATCTTTTCCTGACAGTAATATAAAGAGTCCAGATCTGCCACACTTCATCCCACAATCCTTTGTGCAAAGTGGGATTTCTCCTGTGCCGTGCAGCCCCCATACAACCCTGCAATGAGTGGGCAGATGCGATTTGCCCTATCCTCACCACCTGGGGACTGTTTAAGATGGAGTCACTGATCCAGGAGGAAAGCGGTACTGATGATCCCAGGTTTAGCTTGAGGGGCAGCATGTCTGAAAAGAAAGTATTAAAGGATGAGCTGAAGTCTGCAAAAAGCATCCTGAGGTAGGTGTTAGGAAGCTGCAGCTGAGTTAGAGCTGAGGGGTTTGCTAACGACAGCATCCCCTGTAGATGCTCTGCATGCATCGGCTCTTTGTTCTACTTCAAGAAGATCCTCTGAAAGAACTTAAAGATGTGGGGTCGGAGCAACAAGGCTGTAATCATAGAGGCAGTAATGTTAGTTTTTTTGGGGCACATGCACAATAATGTAGGACTACAGGCAGACAGGGCCCATGGAAAAATGCAGGTAGAGGCTAGAGATGTCTAGAAAAACGCAGAATTTGAGGGTCCGACCTTACACCATGTCTGGACATGCAGCCTTGTTGATGTAGAAGGAGAGCCAGATACTGTAGCTCTGACCGTGGGTGATATTCACACTTCCTGCTGCTTAGAAGATTGAAGCTGATAAGGTGTCAGGCGCAGCTAGATCACAGCCGGGCTGCTGTTCCCTGCTCCTATCGCCCGGGATGGCCGTAATGCCTTTCTATATGTTACCTGGGTTGTTATGGAAGTCAGTTTGCTGCTGGTGTGCTTGCTTTGCCCTTCCTCAGTTCCCTTTGGGCCTCGCTACAGGACAGTTTGTCTCATGATCGAAAAAGCTGCATCTTTGGAGGAAAAAAAAAAAGCAAAAAGCAAGTAGTTCCTGTGGGTAGAGATGTGCTACATTACTAAAAAATAAATAACTAAATATCCAGATGGTTCTTTACTTTCCACCTTTTTTTAGTTTTAGACCATGAGAAAATCTAATCTATTTCATCAATTGAAACATATTTAGTGTACTGCAAACTGAAATAAAATTATATCAAGACTTTTGAATTTATTTTTCATGATTGAATTTTTTCCAAAATTGTGAAGAACCAAGGCTTGAAAGCCTGCATACTATTGCAAACAAATTTTTTAGAGCATGTTAAGGTGACACAGAGACAAATTGTGTCTAACCTGCCTGTTTATGATTAACTTGCTGGTTACAGCTGTCTACATATTATAAACTAATCCTGAACTTCCAGTCTTAAATCTTCTTCAGCTTTTAACATTAATATTTTCCCTACAGCATATGTGTAAGATGCTAAGGGCTTAATGAGGGGCTCAATATACTGTATATGCAAGTGTTTATGTTTGTTGCTTTTAGTATTTCTTTATTACAATTAATGAACCTGAAAAAGATGTTTGATCTGAGGGACCCAGGTGTCAGGAAGGACACAAGAAGACTTTAAAACTCTCTAATCTGTATGACAGTTGATACGAATCACTGGTGGCAACCTAGGACTTCCTCGTATTAGAATTAAAAATGTTGTTTTAAATATGGAAATGTTTCTGCCATGTCGCAGATGCAACAGTTATCCAGCAGCCAGTGACGTCCTCTACAAGATGAGAAAATAACAAATGGTTCATTGCAAAAGAACCTGGCTGTTCAGAAAGTGCTGTATCACAGCTGATTCATCGAAAGCTCAGTGGAAGGAAAAAATAAATTACATTAATAAACTCAGTTAGACGAGAAGGGTCTCAAAGCAAGTATTGAATATGTGCACTGAACAGTACATAAACACTTTTTCTTAGCTTGGCATTTCGATAATAATTTTATAGTTTTTCGCTGGTGTGATATTGAACTGTATTGAGGAACAAAATTTCCATTTATTAAATGTATGCTTTATTTAACCATGCAACAACAATTCAAAATATGAAATGAATGCTCTAAATGGATAACTTTGTATAATTGGACTAATTAAATTACTAAAGCAGTAAAACATGTTGTTTTGTGAAAAAAAAAATTCTTAGTTGAAGGTTTCTGCTAACTTCATAATTTAAAAGCAGTTCACCTTGGAGTTTTTTGGCACTGTGTGCTTTGAATTTAGGCCAAAAGGTTTAGTTTAGGTCTGTCTCATCTGATCCAGATGACCTGCTTTGTTCCTGTTCCTCCTCTCTTGTAACAAACTGCGCACAAGGGACATGTAATGCTTATTTTTAAACAGTTGTTCTCTTCTTGCCTCTCTTACATAAAAGCCAGAGTTGTGCATCTTTCCCTGGTTCCTCTTTGTCATTTTTCTTTGCTCAATTAAACGGTATTAGATTACTTTAGAGATTTTGACAGATTTTTCAGAAGTTGGAACTTGTACCTTTTTGATCAGCTTTGGCGTTACTTCCATCTGCAGGTCATGGCTCTGCAGAATTCACTCATGCTGCCCTCAAAAAGACAGTTAAATCACCAAGAGCAGGTTCGACTTCAACATCCAGCTGAAACAAAACTTAAACTTTGAAATTGGTTGACGTTTCTCTGACACCGTCCTCATTGGGGATGGTGTGGAAGCAGCTCAGACAGCGATGCACTTCAGAGTCCTCCATACCCCCTCTAATCAAATGACCATGGATTTTTCTGTACTTTGTCGTAGAAGGCCCAATTAATTATGCATGACACAGGCTTGACAGCCATTTGATTTTGTTACATGCGCCCCCTCAAAGCTGCCGATCCAATCAGGTTAGAACCCTTCCCTCCTCCTCCTCTGCAGAGGGGGTCTACTGCTAGACTTCCCTTATCGAAGGTAGAGATTTCTTTAAGAGGGTGTTTGGGAGCTTGTAGGACATTTCATCATCATAATAAGTCCTTGTTATGCAGCAGACTCACTCCTGTTTCTCTGCTATCAGGACTCGTTGTCTTTGGAGGGGCAGCAGTTGGGCTGGACACCTGCCACGGCGCAGAGAGGAGATAGACTGAGTTTATTAGGGGGACAGAGAGGGGAGATGGGGGATGACACCTATGTATATGGGATGGTGATGCATCGCAGCACTAAAAGTGCCCCCTAAGACTAGCTGCACATTTTATTCCAGCTGTATCTCCATATATATATATTTCTGTGTTGTAGTTTTCTCTGTGGAACTCGTATCTAATCTAATTGATATCACAGAAATATAAAACTGATTACATTTTATATTAATGGTATAATAAAGGTTCATAATATAGTATATATATTTGTTTTGTATGATTTTTAAAACTTTTAGAAAAGAAATCTGGGATTATTACTTCTCCGGTTTTGAACATTTTAATATTAAAATATTAAAATCTAAAAGATATTACTTATACTTCAGCGATAGTGTCAAGGTGTTACTTTATTGTATCTCTTATACTGTATCTGTTGTGGTTGTGCTGTTCTTTTTACATCTCTTTTTGCAGGTGATGAAACAGACTGAAGATGTTTTATCATTACCTCCTTTTTATCTCCCCTTT